AGCAGAAACAGAATGTGTTATAATTTTTCCTGAATTCACATTTGGATTTAGTCACTTTTGTTTGCATATGTATACTTCGACATACCTTATTGGTCCAAGTTTCTTGTACTCCTTCTGAATCACCTGTGCTGAGGCCTCTTCTCTAGTTGTTTTCTTCTTGCCACACTTGAGCATGTTTTTAAAACTAGAATGCAGATCAGCAATATTAAATTATGAATTAAAAGTGTACACAGAAAAAAAACACCAAATTCCAAACTTTCCTTTTCAAATAACATTTTACAAAAGTAAAATAGTCACTTTACAATGCATTATCTCCCATTTAATTATCACACACCAAACTGGGTGCATTGGAATTAACTGACAAAGCCCAGTGGGAGATTGACAGAGGCAGCAAAAAAATGTGTCCTGTTATTGACTAGCTTATTTGCTCAGGAAGGATGAAACTTTAATTATGGGAACTAATTGAAAGAATCAAACAAATAACCTAGCTATTTAATGAAAGTCATTTACGACTTTGCTTTACTTTTTTGTAATGAAAATGTCTGTATCACATTAGTAGCCTGCCTACTGATCAGCAGTCTATTTGCTACAAACTATGTTTTTATTCTTGAATAAGACCCTTCCACGACATTAAAAAACAAACAAGAAAAATGAAACAATAAATGTTTGCTTATACAGTGGTAAGCATGGGATGATTTTAAGTTTGCTTAAGAGCAGACAGTCTCACTCTTCATCTCTTGCACCATAAGTAGCTATGTAATTGTGAAGGATGGGTGTCCCCACTATTGTCTCTGCAGATGTTAGTGAACTCATGGAGAGCAAGACTTTGAATAATCAACCCCAAAAAAGTATTGGCCTCTACAAAACCTTAAAAGCACAAGTTCTATGGAAAAAACAAAAACAAAACCAAAACGCCACCATACCACCACATACAAAATTTGGAAAAGTGGAAGTTTTTTACTTCATATTTACAAATATAGCCATCCAGTTTATAAAGCAGATACTGCTCAAGTATTCAAGCCGATCCCTTGAACTGGCTCCAGGGAATAGCAACATCCTGGCTACAAATGTTCAAGTCTTAGATCAAAATACATAAAATTTCAGGATTCTTCTGTCTTGTTCATGTACACTGTTAATGATGATATGTGTTTATTCTAAAGGAACGTCTATCATCATTTGTGATGCAGACCTTTCACACTGGGCTGAGTAGTCAAGGATCCTTATTTTAAAAAATTCTTCTCTCATCCAGAGACTCAGCCTGTTAAACTTAGATGTAATATTTACTCCTGGTACACAGTACTTCTTGTATCATCAAGCTTCAGTTTTATTGATTACAACATTTACTTACTCAAACCCAAGGAAAATCCACTGGAGCCAGAGCCAAGAGAGCAGCAGAATAATGAGTGCGATGGGGATGGAAAGGATAAACCAGGATCCAAAATTGATGCACTGACAAGCTGGGTAACGTCTGGATGAAAACAAAAAAATGTTCAGTTGAGGTTTGCAAAGGAATGTAGAGTTATGAGAAGTGCCAGAAAGCCCTGTTGCAAGAGAATGCTTCTGGCTAGTAGTTGATTTTCAGCATGAGGTAGTTTCTGGTCTCCTCCTTCACCTTCCTGTCCTGTTTCTGATCATCAAGACCACTACAGGAGCTAGCTGTGCTAATAGTTTGAGCACTGGATCAGCAACAGGTCCAAAGACCTGATGCTGCTCTAGATGTGCCTAGCCTGAGTTCAGTAGGCGAAGAAGGGCCACTCAGTGTTAAAGACCATTAGAATGACAAAGAAACGGAACTTGAAGAAAAGCCTGTCTTTGAGAGGAGACTTTAGCACAAGAAAATATAATCAAATGGACGAGCTCCAGTGAACTTAAAAGACAATGGTGGAGACAACATCAAGACTTGTATCATTTAAAATTCCATAAGGGATTCAAAAACTGATTAAAACCAAATTATTCTTATTAATTTCCAGGAAAGGCAGGAATGCTCATTTATTAGATGGATTGTCTCTCCAGTCACCTTGTCCCTTTGAGGCTGTCTTCATCTACTGTCTACAGAGGTGAGCCATTCAACCAGAGCTCTCCCTGCAATGTGCATTTAAGTAAAGGAGGAACAGGCACTGGTTTTCTGAAAGGAATGAATTTACAGTTTAATGAGATAGATGTTGGATAGGCAAAAAGGCCAAGTAAATGAATCTTGTTTTCCTATTTACTTTACGAACTCAAGTTATTCTTCCTTTGAGCTTCTCCAGCCCTACTGAGAGAGCTTTTAATGCTAAAAGCAATTAGCATTAAAAAGTAAGAAAATTCTGGTCTCCTTGGACAGTCTTCCTCTTTGATGTAAAAATCAGATGGAAAGGAGTTCACAATGTCCAGAGGTTGTAAAAACTATTTCCAATTATTAGCCAGGTATTTCAGGTCTGTCTAGGAGAAAAGGAATTCTCATGGTGACATAGGTCTTTGAGGCAGCAAATCCTCATTATAAATGTTCTCTCAGTTGTGCAGATTTTAGTATTTATCTGTATTTATTCCAATGCTTACATATAATGCAATTGAAGTTAAAGCAGGGACTGAACCAAAACTCATGCCCACTTCTTGATGTGATGCTCTACACTGCAACTGTACATAGTGATTAGACAGTGAAACTGGAACAAGAAAAATTATTTTATTTATTTATTATGTAGCTATTTGTCTTTTATTACATGATGAACCACATCAGGTTTTGAATGTACGAATTTCAAGATAGGAAAAAACTGACACCAGCATAACAATGACTAAGCATCAATACTTGCTAAAGTGTTTATGATCTTCCCTGAATTATGCATGATAATTTCTTACTGAACAATAAAACAAGCTCTTGAAAACTTTGTACTAAAGAGTCAATTTCGTTATAAAATATTAATTTTTGTGATCAGGTTTAACAGTAAGTTTGTGCAGGGCTGAATACATATGTAAGCATTTCTAGTAATTTTAATATTAAAGTTAGGTATTCTTCATCTCCAGAATAAATACTCCTCAGGTGACTGGAAGAATTCATTTAAGCTATTTTTAAAATTATTCAGTGTATAGTGCTGTTTGGATTATATATTGTTTTTTAATTATCTATTACAGGTCTTGCTTGATTCAAGGATGGACAGGACATACTGAACTATTCTTTTCTAAGCCTTTTTCCTTTGGAAAAAGAAAAGGTGTGATTGATTTCAATAATCCTCTTTTTACAGTGATTCAGTACAATAACAATAAACTCTTTCCAGGCTAACACTACAAATGTCAACAAATTTGGTTCATAGAACAAATCCAGATAGGATAATTCCTTTTATGACTCCTATGAAATTGCTTAGGTTGAAAATAATTTGATGCTGGCAAAGTTTTACTCTTTATGTTGGAAGGTCAAAGTCAGTTACCATAATAGGAAAACTAGATAACCTATCAGTGAGCCAGGCTGAAGAACCAAAGGTTTCATCATAGGATTTACTCTTCCTCAAGCACAGGAGAGCTCAGTTTTCTCCTTGACACAGTATTACCTGGTAACCCTTTATCTCTCTAATCTCTCCACGGCCTTCCCCTCAAGCTGGAGTGCCACTGCTTAGACTGCCAGGATCCATAGTCCTACTATTATGGCCCAGCTGTGAACCTTGGCTTGCAGTCCTTGAAAAAAATGCTTTGTGTGGGAAAGAGCTCTGAGTCTCTACAGCAGAGCTACATAAAAGAGGAGAAACTGCAGACGTGAGAGAACCGATATGGGGTTCTGCAGCATCCTGAAGGATTCAAGAGGAGAAACAAACACAGAAAAGGTTAAAATATTAAAGGAAAAACATATGGAGTCAGAAGAAAGGGACCCAGCATCACCAAGGATCTGTTCCAAGGAGCAGTGAGGACCAACCCATCACATCTTTAAGTGATGCCTTCCTGGCCAGTAAAGGCATCTGTATATCTTATGGACAGTGGTGAGCAGACTAATGTTTAGCCTACTAGCTAACATTGTTTTCCCCAGTTAGATATTCTAGACAATATATTGCAGTGTCTCTTTGCATACAATTAAGAGTGAGCCTCAGAGGATCAGTAACAATTCTTTCTTGAACAGGAGCCCTTATGGAAGTTGGTCTTATTGGCAGGGATGCTTAGCATTGCATCAACATTTCCACTGTTTGCTTCTGCCCTATGGACCAGAGCATAATTGCATGTCCTAACTCAACAGCAGGCTGGGGACTCCCAGCAACAGGCTCCAGTGCTAACACAGATAGACTGTTTTCCTCGTCATGAGAGGAATGAAAAGGAGGGAATAGAGAACAGTAAATGTTAATTCCAATGTATTTAACACTGACATTGGGAAGATATGAGGAATATGCTATTTTGCAGTGCTATTTTAAGAGCTTTGTCACTGAGAGTGGGAAACTCAGAAATATGCTGTATGTGCAGCTCTCCTGCTGAATTATTCTGCTTCAGTGTTTCTGATACATGAAAGTAGACTGCAGATGTGTCCAAGCCATGCTAATAGGTCAATTCCCACTTCAGTCAGGGCATAAATACAAAAGAAGCCTCTAAGGAGAAGGGAAGCAAGATAGTTAAAGATAAAATTATTTGCACAGGTAGGTGGTAGATTCATCTTAAGTTAAGGATTAGTGTCAGTGTTTGTGGAAAGATTAAAAAAAATCCTAGTAGGGTATAAAACTAACTCGCACATGCAGTGCTCATGAACGGCACATGTTCCTAGCAGAGGGTCAAGATGCAGAGATAGAACAGCAATCTGCTTATGCATTCTTGAAGAGATTGTTAACAGCTAAGACAAACTGAAAAAACAGCTACAAGCCATTTTTCTTCAAGTTTCCTACAAATTCAGGGAAATGAACAGGAACAGTTTTTATCCCTAGTAATCAGTCTTGGATTCTTCTAGGCTCCTGCTTGAACCAGAAAAGTCTGGATGTCTAAAAGTTTAAGTCTGAAGGACTTACAATGGCATGGTTTGCCCTGTGTAGCTCTTTGGCCCCAGTAACAGGCACTCTTATAATTTCCATACTGCTTCTATTGTTGCTATTCTCTTAGCACAAGCTAATTTACAAACTGTACTAATTCAGTTCTCTTTAGCAGCATGCTGAAGCCAAGTTTCATCCATTCATGGAACACAGGCTGGAAGAAAACCTGTCAATAACTGGTCTTTCACCTTTTTGCCATGTGCAATGCAGAATAGCAGGAAGAGGGTAATAAAAGAATTGTGCTTTATTTTGTTCTGTTTTAAAATGAGTGACTTGGCAATGAGCAGTTTGCAGAAGAAAAGAAAGTTCAGCAAGAACTATTGGTTTTTCAAAGGCTTTGGAATGAAATCTACCAATTTTCTTTTCAAAGTAGTTCTACTTAGAAAAGAAAAGGAATATTAAAGAATGTTTTTAATAACCTCAAAACCAAGTGTTCCACTGAATGTAGTTTCAGACTGATTTTAATTTTTTTCTTTGACTAACATACCTAAATTCCTCATTTGAACAATGCCCCAAGCATAGCCTCCTGAAAGTCTCCTGATGTTCTTTGCTAAGCAGACCCAAACTTAGCTCTTTCTGTACTTACAGATGAATAACAGTCCTTTAAGGCCAGATAGTGTCTGTTATTCATGCAAAGTTGTGTCTTCCTTTTCAAATAAGCTCATCTTTTTCCATGCAGCTATTCAAAGAGCAGAATACTACTTAACCAAAGAATGGCCATCTTGTTGCATGTGTTGGATGATCACTTACAGCCTTTCCCACTGTAAGGCAAATACAACCCTGCAGTTTCATTTTATGTCTTTTAAAAAAAAAAACAACAAAAAGTAGTAGAATCAAATAATGTCCAATTGACAGGTAAAGTTTCTAATGCATTTTAGGGGAGCCATGTGAGAGCTCAGGAAATAACAGCTAAAATTCTCGATTAAGAAGAATACAAATAACTTAATATAGACTCTTACGTGTTGAAGTGCTCAGCAAAAATCAGATTAGTTGATGTTCCTGTGATTGTGGTCAGCCCTCCAATGGTAGCAGAATAAGCAACACATAAGCACATCACTTTGAAAATCCCATTGTATTTGTCCTCTTTGTTTTTTCTCCCTGTTTCAGCTGGTGGTAGATTCTGCTTAGAAAGAATATACACCGATTAATATATAAGGGCTCATCATCAAGCACAAAATAGGATTCAGGGATGTCCCAGAAGAGTGAGACAATTTGTTGGCAATAGAGCTGTACACAGTGTGGTTTGGTTTGCTGTTACATGGTACTACAACTTTTCATGCAAAGGAAGAGGGGAGGGAATCAAATCCCGAAGTCCTTTTCCTGAACTGCCTCAGTGTTTACACAAGAATTTCCTTGTGTATCTTGATACACACAGTTTACACTCTGGTGAGGTTAGTTTAACTTTTGTAAAATACACTGGGAGCACAAACCCAGTAATGAAATAAGTACATAAGCAAATTGTATGCATATCTACACATTTATCTCTTATTCACATGAAACTATCTTCATTGCTAACTGTGCCATGTTAGGTGTTATATAGAAAGCGATTTAGGTTAAAACTGTTACATGCATGAGCCGCATAATAAAAAGACACCTTAAATACCTGTTCCTTTTCTTTTCCATACTCTTTTTCAATTGCGCACACAGTACTAGCCACATCATTGTCATATCTGGAAAAAACAAAGGTATGTATTTTAACAAACATACTCTATTTAGATTATTTCTTATACTAGATTTTAGTAAATGAATAACTATTACCCATTAATTTGGTTTTCTTTCTCTTTACAGTCACTGCGTTCATGTTCTCCTATATTTTCTGTAAGACATTAATGCAAAGACAGGTAAGTATTTAAGGGAACAAAACTGGAAAGGCTCCATCAGCATGTCCCATTTCAGGCAATAACTTCACATCATCCTATGAATAAATTTCCAAGTGCCAATCTTAAAAACAGCTGAGCTGTGCCTTATTCCTTCATGATTCCTGTTGCCCAGGGGCTGAATCTTCTGAGAGGGAAATCTTTCTCATCTGCAATCTAACTGTGTATGTAACCAGTTTAGATTCACCTATTCTCCCCACATTACTCTAGACCTTAAAGAGCGCTTTTCTTCGGCTAATGTTTAACCTGCAGTGTATTTATAGCTTGTTATCATATTTCTTTCCAAACATTTCACTATGCTGAGCAAGCCAGCGTCTTCTCCCCTCCTCTCACATAACTGCCATATTCTGCACCATATTCAATTAATCTTTATGAACATGGGAGACCTCACACACAGTAATCCAAGACATTTTACAATGTGATTTCCCTAGCCATTCAACTGTATTTTATGTGGTGTTTACTCCACTGAAGAATGAGGGTGAGCAAAGACAAAAGTTACACTGCGTGCCTACCGTCCAGCTCCAGTGTTGGGTTGATGGAGCCGTTAGAGCAAGACATCTCCAGCGCATCAGCTTCTGTTTCAGCTTTGATGATCTGCTGAGCTACAGCCTCTACAATTGGCATCACCATGGCAGCAGCAGAGGTGTTGCTGAGCCACATTGACAAGAAAGCACAGCTAACCATGAAACCCAGCACAAGCCTGGAACAGGAGAGAAGAGTCTGTGGCTGCTACAGCAACACCTCGTATCACCACTCTATTTAGTACAAATTGAAAGCTTTTTCAATAGAAACACTGAAAATTTAAAGCTTGTAATTGACCTCTGAGGAAGATTATGAATTACAATAATCTTGATCAAAGGCATTGAAATGATCATATTTTAAAGAATCAAATATGTTATAAATTGGAAACAATAAAATTTATTTATAGAATAAAGAAAAGAAGAAAGAGCACCATGCATGCCGTAAACTTAAAAGAAATTTAAAATGGCTGTACTGCTAATGCTGTTAATCCCCTGTTGTACAAGCTAGGTCAAAACCCCAGGCTGTAAGTCTTCTAGATACCAGTCCAGCTGTTGTAGAAAGGAATATTAACAACTCAGGAAGTGGTACTTAACTTAGTTCTGAATCAGGGTTTCATGACAAGTGTACAGATTATTTGTGCTTCAATAAACATAAATATTTGATACTAAATGGAAAAAACCAAGGTCATTACAATATCTTAGTCCAGTCTTGGCACATTTTTAGCTAAGTTTACCACGAACAAGAATTGTATCTCTGCAATTCCTGATTGTACTTATGCAATGCACTGAATTGCATCAGTGATTGGAGACACTCAAGGTTTACACTAAAAATTCAAATATTCCATGTCACATCTCATAAAGTTAGACAGTAAACTTAGAATACGGGCCAAATTGTCATTTCTAATGCATCTCTTGGAGTTGTAAATGAGAGTAGTCTTCCTGACTTCCTGTCCCAAGGTGTTGGCAGTGTCATTAAACACCTGCTATGGATCACAAAACTGAGAGGGTCTGCAATGTTTCAGCGTTTTCAGAGAATTCACTCATGTAATTTGTAAAGCTCTTGGCCTAGCCTTGACAAAAGCTTCACAAAAACTGTAACGTTTAGTTCCCAGTATGGGAAGAGAAGATTGTATACAAAAATAACATAAACGATATTTAATGACATAAAAATACCATTCAAAATGCCTCTCATAGCCTTTCATTTCAGCTAATAGCAGCATTGCAAACTTGATTATTTTTCAGTAGGAGAACCTTGTCTTTTCTCTGTGCACTTTTAATTGCATAATGATGAAATGATTTACAGACCTGCAAGTGAGTAGTGGACCTGGTACAACAACAATTATCATTGGTAGTATGAAACCCATTACTTTATGCAGTTTTTGATTAGGTCCTCAGATGGAAGTTAAGGAAGATTTGTTTATGCAGAAAATACTGGTGAGGCTAACCACACTGAATATGAATATTTACATTGTAGAGAAATATAATTTTAGTACAACTTGCAAGAGGATTTAAAACCAAAGCAAATGAAGACATTTGCTAACATGTTTCAAAACTGTTCATCATAGATCTCCAGCATTTGACGGACTGATGGTCAGGTGACCATTTAGTACAGTGTGTTGTATTCTAATGAGTGACTAAGAAAATCCTAACCTGTTCAGCCCCAGGGTTTTTTTTGTATTATTCTCTTTGTGTTGCTGTTGTGGAACCTTGGATGATAACTTCATCTACATTCAACTATCAAATCACCCTTTGCTATGTAATTCACGTTCAATGTTTTGCTACTCAATCTACTGCAGGTTACATAGATGTATTCACCTTTCCCTCATACTCTGCAGACAAGACTACATAGCTCAAATGATAGGAGGTGGTTAGGGACTTATACGCTCATAGAATCATTTAGGTTGGAAAAGACCTTTAAGATCATCGAGTCCAACCATTAACCTAGCACTGCCACGTCCACCACTAAACAGTGTCCTGAAGTGCCACATCTACACATTTTTTAAATACCTCTAGGGACAGTGACTTTACAGCCTCCCTGAGAAGCCTGTTCCAATGCTTGACGACCCTACGGAAATATATCTATGGAAATGTTTCCCAATGGCCAATCTAAACCTTTCCCTGATGCAACTTGAGACTGTTTCCTCTTTTTCTATAATTTATTTCTTGGGAGAGGAGGCTGACATCCACCTCACTACAACCTCCTTTCAGGTGGCTGTAGAGATCAATAAGGTCTCCCCTGAGCCTCCTTTTCTCCAGGCTAAACTACCCCAGCTCCCTCAGCTGCTCCTCACAGGACTTATTCTCCAGACCCTTCACCAGCTTTTTGCCCTTCTTTAGACACACTCCAGCACCTCAGTGTTTTGCTTGTAGTGAGGAGTGGAAAACTGAACACAGTATTTGAAGTGCGGTATCACCAGGGCTGAGTACAGGGGGATGACCGTTTTCCTAGCTCTACTGGCCATGCTGTTCCTCAAACAAACCAGTTTCTCCAGAAGGCAGAATCCAGAAAACTCCTTCTATTCTACTTCCACTGCTACAGCTTCTATGACATTTAATGCAGAAACCTCCTACAGTGGTATCTCTACCTTGGGCTGGAAGAGGATCCAATGTGACAGGCTGCTTGGGTACTCCTGCTAGCGGAGGAGGAAGGCTCTGCACAGAGAAGAGCAAGCATCAATTTGCAGTGGGCACAGCTAACGAGCAGCAGATGCTGAGAGGTGGGAGGATCCTCTCCTTCACACATCATCTTATCATAATCTTATCATCCTTTTGTCATGGAAAAGTGATAGGAAAAAAGTGTCAGAAAAAGTGATAGAGCTGAAATAGTTATGAGGGGTGCTGCTTCCTGAAGGTTGTAAAACTCTGTGGAGTTGCTCTAGGTGTGCTCAACACTGGTTGCAGTTTTCTGTGTCCACAGCAAGTTCCCCAGTGGTGATCAGTTTAGCACAGCTCGCCATTCACTGTGTTCTCCCTTTCAAGATTTCAGCCAAAAGTTAAGGATTTAGGAATGATCAAAAAAAGAGAAGTTGAAATAACTAAAACTGCAGAGCTCAAGAATGTAGCTGAAGATAATGGGAGGCAGTTTACAAGAATGTAAGGAGTATTTTGTCAAAAAAGAAAGCTGCCAGCTATCAAAAGATGAAGGAAAAATCAAAACACATGTTATATTTAAAATTAAGACAGACAAATCACTGAGGAATAGGAATAATACAGCATTTCCATGAGGTATTATTAGTTAGATCACCTAAGAGGCTTCTCATTTTTTGGAGCTGGGGTTTTTGAAAGTTTCCCTGACTTTATACTTCATGTCACTGTCTGCTTTCTGGTGAAGAGTATTAAGCATCATGTATTCTAGGAATACAGACTTGCTCTACAGATGTTATCTGCTGCCTTACTGATGTGCTGATAGATGAATGTGTGGGCCTAAAGCATTTCTGCAAGCTTATAAAACAAGCAAAGAGTTTTCACTTCATAAGATATATGATAGTAAATAGAGAATTTGTGATTTCATCTCCCTCATTACTTCATCCACCTGAGGAAGTACGTATTCCTTTGATATTTTCTTCATAGGTAGACAAAGAAAAAAAGCATAAATACAGACACTGTTCTTAATGTCGTTTTCCTTCCTCACCACATCTTTAGTTGTATGACTTTTTTTACCTCATTGTGTATTTGTATTCTTGGGAAGTGTCCAGAATTTTGCAAAGAACATTGAAATACAAATTAATAATAGGCATAGCACAGATTTTCAGTTTTAAGGATCATATATGTAATATATTAACCACCATTTAGAAACAGGACCCATAGCTTATTCACAAAGTCATCAGGTATTTTGTTCAGAAGGATCCTTATTATGAACAGAATCACTGCAGGGAACTTTCAATTAGGATTTCAGCAAAATAATAAACTGGTAACTACTAATCAATCATATCCTTTCAAATATCTACTTTGAGTAGAAAGGATGGATTGCTGCTACAGAAAAAGCAGTAGGCAATTATTTCTGGAATATATAGCTTTCCACACGTATTATTGTCCTTCAAGACATTGTTTAACACATACCATGCTGGGTTGACACCCACCAGCATCACCATTCTTAAAGCCATTCTTTTGTGCAAATTCCATTTTTCTATTGACGTTGCCAAACAAATTACTCCAATCAGCAGCAGATGAAAATCTTTAAAATAAGCAGATGCCACCTGAAATAAAACCAAAACCCATTTTGTTAACTAAATGGCAACTTTCTTTTAGTATTTGGTTTTATCAGTTTATAAAAAAAAAAAAATCAATAAGGGTCTATTTTTGAAATAAATATTGGAAAACATTTTTGGCTTAAATTTACACAATTTAATTGAAATTTCAATTTCATTTAACCAAATGATGCAAGATTAACTGCATTAAAGGGCACAGTGTTAAAGCAAAAAGAAAAATAAGGCTTATGATCTGAACAACCAAAGGTCATCAGGCCCATCTGACAGATTTTTATTAATTTAATCATCTATACAACAGATACAAGAACATATTTAAACACAGTGTTAGAGTATGATCCCCTATGGTGTCCTCTCTTTGACATGAAAATATATACTCAGCATTTTGTACATGGCAGCTTTAGTGTGTCATCTCATTTCTGTAACATTAAGGACATTTTATATCTATCTAGCATTTTCCCAGTGACTGGCATTAAAGCATTAAATCACAATCTAGGAGAAAATATTAAAGAAATATGGGCAATTCCTGAGGACAAGGCATGTAAGCAAGTCTTGAGGCAGACCTGTTGGGACTGGCACTCAGCAAATCCATGGATTAGCCTACCAGGTTTCAACATTATGTTGTTGTCTCTTTGCAGATTTTTGTCACTGAAATCCATCATATGATAGAAAGTAAAAAATGGGTTACCTGCTTGGATTCCATTATACCGAACAATGGGAACATAACGGCAGGGAGCAAAGCTGAAACAGCCAGTGGCATAGGTTCCGTAAGCCAAAGGA